CCAAACTCTACTGAACAAAAGGTAAAAGGTTGCTGTGAAAATGTGAAAAGTATCACTTCATGACATCACAAGCTGGAGCAGAACATTTTGAGCTTTGGAGATGTAGACAGACTAATAATAAAGGATTACTCAGACGTGTGTGAATGAAACAAAACACAACTTATAACACAGCTAAAACCTCACAAGAATCCATTTTGTGTAATACTGGACCTTTTACTACTACTAATACTACTACTAATACTACTACTACTACTACTACTACTAATACTGCTACTAAGGCTGTGCAATTAACCGAATTTTGATTGCAATTTCGATTCGTGTGTCAAAAGATCACAAACAAGCTTCACACAGTTTATTTTGGGATATTTATTTAATCTTTTAAATAAAGAGATTGTAGAAGAGCTGGATATATAGTTTATTTTGGGTACATTTAAGTTTTTCAATGCCTTATTTCATGTTCAAAGTATATTTTATTAATTTTATGTTTTATACTTCACAAAACTGCTCTAATGTTCATATTTGTAGCCTGTATTTATTTTCAGTTTGAAAGTTTTGCGTAAATTATTAATAATTTTTTTTTTCTTTTGAGAGAGAGAGAGAAATGCTGAATAAATGCATCGTGTAACTAAAAAAATAATCATTTGAATAATCGTGATTTCAATATTGATCAAAATAATCGTGATAATGATTTTTTCCCACAATTATTGCTACTACTGCTACTACTACTACTACTGCAACTCCTACTACTGCAACTCCTACTACTACTACTACTACTGCAACTACTACTACTACTACTACTACTACTACTATACTACACTACACTACTGTTACTACTACTATACTGCTGCTACTACTACTGCTACTGCTACTACTGCTACTGCTACTGCTACTACTACTACTACTACTGCAACTACTACTACTGCAACTACTACTACTGCAACTACTACTACTACTACTATACTACACTACTGTTACTACTACTACTGCAACTACTACTACTACTACTACTACTACTATACTACACTACACTACTGTTACTACTACTATACTGCTACTACTACTACTACTGCTACTGCTGCTACTGCTACTGCTACTGCTACTACTACTACTACTACTACTACTACTACTACTACTACTACTACTACTACTACTGCTACTACTACTATACTACACTACTGTTACTACTACTATACTACTATACTACTATACTACTACTACTGCTACTGCTACTACTACTATAACTGCTACAACTGCTGCTACTACTACTGCTACAACTACTACTACTACTATACTACACTACACTACTGTTACTACTACTATACTACTACTACTACTACTGCTATTATTATTACTACTACAATACTACTGCTACTGCTACTACCACTATAGTCACTCCCCACATTGCTGTGCAACTATTACTATTACTACTACTACAACACCTTGCAGTAATCTTACTACTGATTCCGGATAGTGCATGCGCCTCAAAATGCAGACTGCTCGAAGTTTTGTTTCACAATCACAGTCCCAGCTGACCGAGATACATTATGAAATACTATTCTCTTGACGTAAATTACTATCAAAATGTATGAGCAGTTTTTCTTCAGTAGTTGTGTTTACGTCAAATGAAATAGACAGCGTGGGACTTAACCTCCCCACAAAAGTTAAATGCTCGAGACCACTTCCTTTGAGGGCTTTGTGTGCACTTTAAAAAGCACTGTACATTCAAATATGATTACATTGTTGTTTATCATTGGCTCTGTGTTTCCATTGCTCCGTGTTTCCATGTTTGTTGGGGTGTAGGGTCAT